TTCCCTTCCTTGGATGTTTTATTACCTGGGTTTCTCTCTGAGAGACTCAAGATCTTCAAACAGCATGATCATTTGAGGTTAATTCTATGATTTGCATTTAATAGCAGGGGATAATTCTCCTGCATCACACAACTGCAGAGTCTCAAATTCAGTAATACTCAGAATGGCATCTGTGGAATTTACACTTCAATCTTAAATTAAATTTTAGTAATTAGCAATGGTGTATAGAATTGGTTTAGGAGGTTTTTTTTGTGTAGTCGTCTTTTAAATTTTAATGTTACATCAGGAAACATTGGGATCAGCTTAAGACAATGTTGCTTCAGCACTATGATATAAGCAAAAAAAATATCTGTCTCTCATAGTTTTTATTTAAAACTACATTTTTTTCTTTCAGCTTGGAGTCATATATGTGACAAGATTAATCACATTATTAATGGCATGATTACTCAAGCATTAAACCACTTTTGTGGGTTTGTTTTCTTTGTTCCCCAATCTATTAACCCGAGTGCCTCATTCAAAATAGACAGTGATGATCTTTATGACACGACCAAGATAACAAAATTGTACAAAGCTTTTTTAAATTACCTTAATGCCTCTAATTTATATTCTCTGCACCCCCACTGACATGAACTGACAAAATTACATTCAACTTAGTGCTATTAAAACCACAGGTAAGTACTGCAAAGTGCAAAATTTTAGTTAACAACATAAAAATTCAAACGCTTTTTGTGATGACAGAATTTGAGCGTGTTAAAATAATTATAGTCTTGAGAAGATTATTTTTTGTTTTGCTTTTGTATTGTCCTTCACGATAATGTGGGGGCCTGTAAGATGATATACAGGATTTGCTCGATATGGACTTGTGTGAGACAGGGGCATGCTGTACACAAATATAACATCTGGAAATTTTAGCAACCAGTCTCTGAGAAGTGTTGCTGACTGGCACAGAATGATTTGCTGGAGTCTTAATTCCTGGGTGGATTTTGAAGTAAAAACAACAACAAAAACCCCTCTCTGACAGGACAGTCAGCATTTAAGTTAACATTCTGTGGATTTCAGCACTGGTGAATAACAGACAAAGCTATGTAGAGGTCTATCACAAAAGAAACCAGGTAATGTTACACCATTCCAAAGCACTACAACTTTAAACACCCAATAACAAAGTAAAGCCCAGCAAATTTTGCTTCATGAAGTCTGACATGAAAACTCCTGAGACTTTCAGAGGGGCCATCTTTTCCAAAATTAATTATGAACAGTGAAATCAAAAAGTACATAGAATTATGCAATATTCATACATTACAATATAAATTTAACCCTTAGTTTATAAATGAATGATTTTTAAACTGATCATGTTCAAGGGAGGGCAACTGTCTAAACACTAATCACAAGAATTCGTTACACTTACATTCCTATACTTGTATTCCTCTACACATAACTGATGGAGAACAAGAAGAGAAAGGTTTTGCATCCTTTTTGAGGCACAATGGGATAAATACTGCATGTGCATATATTTAAGCTATGTTCTACTGACACGTTTGGAAAATTTTTAAAGTGGTGTAAAAGCTACTTCTGTGAACATTTGTGCTAGGTAGTTACTTGAAATAAGGGTTTAAAAGTGCTTAAATGGATAGCATATTAACAGTGCCCGTCTAAATGCGGTCAGTTCAACCAGCTTCAAAAGTCATGGTAAATTTACTCAGAATAACCTTTTGTATGCTATCAGCCTCTATCAATGCAATGTTTTTACAGTACAAAGGCTCAAAATACAGGTCATGTAAAAAACGTACAGGTAAGAAACATGCAAAGGTCCAGAAAAATCAATGCCTACTCAATACGTGGCATTTCTGCCTGGGTCATCGTTTCTCTATAGAAGTCGTGTATTAAGAAAGGCAGTAGAAAAACATACATCTTTCAGTCTGAACTTTGCCCTCATTCTGTAATGTTACAAGAAAGAAATCAGAAGATAAACTAACAGCATAGATTTGCACAAGAAAAGGCTACTGGAATTGGGACAGGAGAGCATTCTTAATGCAGGAGAAGAACTGGAGTGTGCTTTGTACTTGGGAGAGAGGGTTCAAGGCAAGTTCAGCAATTCATCCCTCAAATTTGTTTATGGGTTGTGTCCACAAACGCCATGAGCCAAATTCAGCCGTAAGCAGGTAGAATTTTCTTTCAGTCCAAGTTTTTGAGTTTGGTTCTGAGGGACTCTAAATAGCTTTAGTGGCAAATCTGAAAGACAGATATGCTGCAGCTCCTGATGTAGTCTCCTCATTCTCTTGCTGTGCTGATCTAGTGCAACACAGGTTAAATTTACAACTGAAAGCTTAGATTATGAGAGTCAACCAACATTCGGAACAATTATTGTAAACTACTAAGTCTTTTATAATCATTGGGTTAAAATACCAACTTGGCTAATCTTGCATGATAGATGCAAAATACATGGACAAGTTTTGTGGAAAGAAATGTTAAAAACAGGGAAAAGGACTCACTGGACAACCTCAAGGAGGAAAGAGAAATAATTTCTTAATAAAACCCAGCAAAGCAGACTGCATGACCTGTATTAGAACAGTAAGAATCACTGTATAGTTCCTATTAAAACTTCTTCCAAGAGGGTTGAAGGATAAAATCTCTAATGCATGCGTATCTTTAAAAACATTCTTTCATGCTGAAAAACAAAAGTTAAGCATCCTTAGAGCTTACATATTTCAGAGTGTCACATCAGTAAATGAAAAAGTTTGGTTAACAATGAACACTGGAGTTTTATCAAGAGATAAACAATCTTAAGGGCTATGAGAAAAGAGAATTTAAATTACAATTTACAATACAATATTGAATGGGATTAACACTTCACTTGGGTATTTTTTATAGGTAATTGCTTCAGACCTGTATACATTGAAGCCACAATTGGAATAAAATGAAACAGGCTGAGGATGGCAAGAACTGGCCTCTGAGGCAAAAATATTTATTCTTTTATAACAACTGGGGAAAAAAAAGATGAAGACTACTTCAGAAGAGAATAGCCTCAAGATGGCACAGTGTAAGTAACGTATGGGTTCAAGAACTAACATAACAATATCCTCCTAACATCGTTTTACTACTTCACAAATTTAAGGAGTCCACAAGAGCACACATTTTTGTAATTATTTCAAAAAGCAAAGCCTACACAAAGCTGAAGCTCCAACCTAGACGTTTATACGATGATGGGTGACACAGATGCCCCTATTCCCACAGTTCGCTGGTATTCTAATGCAAGTTGTTGCTCCTCTTGGTTGGTCTTCTCTCCTCCCTGAGATTGATACAATCACCTTGTCTATTCTCTCACTCCCACACTTTCTACTAGGCTTGGGCAGCTAGCCACACTGGCAGTCAGGAAAATCAGAACCACTTGCCTCAATCTCTGAACAATTTTACTTCATTTTTTTCCTCAAAGCTTTTCTTCATTTTGGTGGGTATTGAATAATCATTTAAAAAAAAAAAACCAAATAATTGTGATACTTTACTATGACTTTATCCAAGGAGGCAAATGCTATAACATGAAATAACAGCAAGCTCTATTACTTGCATTATGCCTTTGGAGAGAATAACACAGTAGCAGTAAAAGTAGTTAAAGTAATCCCCTAACATTTAAAAGGCATTTACCCATGGGGCAAATGAAAATCTGGGAAGTGGATGAACTGTGCAAGTCAGCATAATCTATTTTTACTGCTTACTAAAACAACCTTACACATTACTATTCTCAAACAAGATCAGGCCATAAATGCCTAAACACTGTATTAAATGAATAAAATAAAGTATTATAACAATTCATATTATTTTTATAACCCATCATCACCATGCAGAAGTATGTATCAGTCCACTGACTTTATTAAATGCAAGATTCTTGTCTCCCACATGCTGTTCTATTGACATAAAAAGATCATACAGAAGCAGCAGATGGGGTGAATAGAAAAGAAGCTCCTAGTGCAGGACAAAAACCATAGGCAACCCCCTCTGAGGGAGGGACCTGCCTGAAAGTACACAGGAAGGCTTTGGGATGCAGCACTGGCTCACGGTGTTACTCTTATACAAGACCACGTCCACATTTGTGTGAGGCAACTTTCATTGGGAAAGAAGCAGTATCTTCTACACCATCCATTATCATTGGAAGAAGGAGGTATGCTTTCAGGGAAGCCCTGTACTGCCTCAAATATTGCTTTTTCCTACAGCTGTAAAAGCAGAACTCACAAGTGTTCAAAGACAGGCTGCCATTTTAGTCCCTGCAAGTGGGAAATGAGACTTACAAAGGGTTTTAGGACGCTCGTGCTCCCTATCTTCTTTTTTCCTAGGCCATACATATTGTAAAGATCCTCAAATGTCTCTGATGGTTACAAGGCCAAACATGAACAAGGGTTTGAAACTTACATCACTCTGGCATCCTTTTCTTATGCCAACTAATTTACATGAGAGGAATGCGGTTCATATTCTCTTTGCTCCTTTATAAACTACAAACAAGTCATTTTCCACTGTTTGCATAATGTTTGTGATAGTAGCACTGCCCAGACACAAAGCCAAACACAATGATGTAGTTAACACCCTTGTCATGTGTTGTTTCTTTATAAAATGTTAACTTTTCAGAATATTTATACTTTTACCTGAATCTTGATGCTTACACATTTAAAGTCATGACCACACTATTGCACAGTTCGCTGCTCAGAACTTATGAAGCCACTGGAGTCTTAAAAATTCTGAGCAATCAATTCTGGTTTTCCGTTATAGTTGCAAACTCTCAGCAGCCAAAACGATCACTATATTCTGACTATTTCATACTACGAATTAATATTTTTAGCTCATCACTTACATTATTCCAACTCAGAAAAATAAAATTTAGTATTTGCTATTGCTAGTTCTTCTTCCTTACCTTCTCATATCCTCCTTTATGTGCAGATTGATCAGTTCTTTAGGAACATGGAAAGAGAGGGTGGTCTCGGACATCTGCTCCCGGATCCGCATCCACTTGTTGTCAGAAGTAGGGAATCTATACAACTTACAGATCGAGTTTTTTAACACTGCAGATAGAAAATAAATCATATCATTACTTTACTGTGGTTATATGACTCTGAAAATTTATGACAACAATTTCATCCAAAAATAATACATCATATCCTCTCTTGCTTCCAGAATTAATTTTAGAACCATTAAAATTCTGTTAAAAACATTATATTTTTCTTTAATTTATTACAGTAGCGTGTGGAGCATGAAGTATTGCGAGTACAGAAGATAAATCACATTTTACCTGCACAGTAGGTATCCTGTGAATTTAGCTTTTCAGTGTAGTGAAAATGTAAATTATGCTCTCTATTCTTACACTTAAGACACAGTTAGGAAAAATGGAATGCACAAATAAACAACAAACTCCCAGTCAACGCCATCACTTACCATCTGCTAAAATCACTCATATTGCTAATAGATTGCATGGGTCAAGTGAAGCATGCCTCAGAGTTTAGCTATATCTGATACAGCTTCTGCATGACATGCAGACACAGAAGTCATTAATATGAACAGATGGTGTGCATCGACAGCAAAGGAAACTTAGCCATGGACATGGTCAAGAAACCTGCCACTACCTAGAAATAAATATAACAATACTGTGAATATGTTACACACGCTGTTCTCAGATCACTATTGTAGCCTGACATAGGAAAATCATGGTACTTGGTATCTTAGAAAGTTATGCTTAAAGCTATGTTTTTTATTTTAAAGCTCTCACTTGTTTTCCTTCAGATCTTACAATGATGCTCTATCATAAAGGTGAGAAATTTCTACTCTCTTTTTTTCCTTTCTTTTTTTTTTTTTTTTAAATCTCTTCCCCTGCTATTAACAAATTGTCCAGAACGACCAAATGGGGAAAAAGCTGAGGAAGAGAAGTTTTGTTTGACTACTTTGATAAACTTACTTGGAGACAAATTATTGTCATTTTACACACACATCTACTGCTTCCTAACTCAGAATGACTTTGGACAGCCACCAAATCCTCCAACAGTACCTTTCTATCAGCTTTCTGGAAAAAGCTGCCTTAGAGCAGGCTCCCATTGATCTGCCACCAAATGGCCTATAACTCAAAGGAATGTACTTCCCATGTGCTCTACAAGGATACTGTTGCTGACAAAACGTCATTTACTAATAGAAATCTCAGCTTCGCAACTCCCTGCCACCATTATTGCCTATGTAGTCTGATTTATAGAGAATGAAAAACACAGGCCAAGTTATTGAAGTTATACAAACTGTCTTGTGCATCTAATCAAACTGGTTTTTAACAGAAGTCCTTTAGGAAAGGCCTAATAGAAGAGCAAAGATTTAAAGACATCTGTAGTAAAACGGTTGTTGGCAACTCGTAAAGGAAGGAATGTTGGATATAATTATATTAAATTAATTGCAGATGTAATGTTTTCTATTACCATCACTCTACCAAGATATCTTTAATCCTTAGTCTTCCAGAAGAAACTAGAAGACTTTAAAGTCATTTTGCCCTTATTTATTAGTGATTTTAATTGCAAAACTAAATTCTGACTTACTGTTACGAAATAAGTCTAACAGATTCTTGATGGGTATGGCATATGAATAACAGCAATTTTTCTTTACTGCTAACACCCAAAATACCTCAAATGTTCAAAAACCTTTACAGACATTTTGCAGCTTGACAATCCTCATCACACAGACTTAACTACTGTCCACTACAAAAATAAGTATTCCAACTCCTGTGCCTATGATCAACTTACACCTAGTGTCTGGGGTTTATTATATTACTTGATTAAAATATGCTGTAATGCTTTCGTATTTTTCCTCTTCTGCTAAGATTCTTCTAATTAATGAAATAAGTTTTGTCAATAATACTGACAGCATCTGGCAATGCACAAAGTAGATATATGGTACCGGTCACCTTCCATTAACAAGACACGGAATGACAATCTTCAGATGTCAGGGAGAGCTCCAGAAATTAAGGACTAATTAAGGTTTGTCCTTAAACAGAAACTTGCCAAATCAGATGATAATTTTCTTGTTGTTTGTTGGTTTGGGTTGTTTGGGTGTGTTGAGGTTTTTTTGTAGTGCTGCCTGGTCACTAGGAAGCAGGCTGATACTTTTTACCAGTACATTTGAAATGATGATGCCCAAGACACAGAAGGCTCTTTTCTCTATTTTATATTTTATATCTATTTTCTAAGAAGTTATCAAAGGGTGTTTTTCCAAGAACAGTCCTTAAATTTGCATTCTGAATCTATTACAATCAAAAATTCACATTTGTCTGTGACAACAAAATGCACATACACAGCTCCACAATTGCTTTCCTCCTGTTTCCCCCTTATCACCACCAGCATCACAGGAAACAACCAAAAACAAACAACAAAACTCAACAGGACTGCAGCATGGTAGCAAGGGAGACTAGGAATCGCTTTGAAAATGGGGATCCAATGTTGTTACTTTTATTATTGTTAGAATTATTAAACTACTCTTCAGGTACTACTTCCAAGTCTGAATTTTCAGATAGCGATACTCTCAAGTGTGTTCAAAGTTTTAAAAAATGGCTGGAACATCTCTCTCTGGATTTATGAAGAAAATTTCATTTACAAACTCAGAAAAGTGCCTGGAAATTTTATTTTCTCAAGGAATCCAAGTAATTCCCATTTGCAGTATTGCTAAAGTTTGAGACTATGAGTAAGAGCTGCACAACACTTTACGGTTTTCTTACAAACAGAACTATTGAAGGCATGTGATTCCATAAAAATCACAGATGTATTTTCCTTTCCAATTACAACAATAATTGTTTTCTAATTAGAACAAGTTGTCTAAAAAACAAATCCATAAGGCGTGTAAAACACTCAAACAGTAAGCATGGCAAGACTATATTTGGCTGTTATAAAAAATAGTTATTAAAATGAATGAAAGTTTCAAAGTAATCCCTCCTGTATTTAGGGAGCAATCATGAAAGGCATTGGGAAAAAAACAAATACAAAAACAACAAAAAAACCACACACCAGATGAACTGCAGTGGTTAAGAGAGGAAAAATATTTTAAAGCCTTTTTCTATAGCATGAAGCCAAAAAACTACTGCCATATATTTAACCATCCATATTCTTGTACATTCTCATTTTTTAGTTTAAAGACCTCTGTGCTTTTTATTCCATGCAATATCCTTCACACTGCTTCCCCTGCAAGTAAAATAGAAAGTTAATAAAAGATTGAATACTTTGTTTTCATTTTGGTTCCCTACTGAGCACAGATGAAAGCATACCGCTGCCATATTCTAATTTACTAACAGCATTTCTATTTATGTCTTCCTTTGTAACACAGGTGTATTATGCATATCATGTCAGGAAGAATAATTTCAACTTTCTTAATTTTTGCTTAATTTAAGTTACTTTTATTCTCTCTTTTATTTTTAATCATAACATGCAATATGTTCACATGCAAACAATTGGCAAACTCTCCAGTGTTATAAATAAATAACTGAATTTTGAGACATAGAAATTCAATCTCTTGGGGTATAAATGGAATAGTGATAAGCCTCTGTGAAATACGATACTCACTCCCACTCACTTGATAAGTGCCTCATAACTCAATTGAGGGCTGCGAGTTCCTTATATTAAGATTTAAATTTCAGAAGAATGCCAGTGTGCATCTATGCCTACAGGCTTAAAGATTCACATAGGGATTTTTTTTCAGTTTCACAGTTTTGAAGGACTGATTAACAACACAAAACAGAAAGGACCACAAATCTTTACAATAGTATGCATATGTACTGAATACATATGTATATGAAACACATACTAGACAGTACATCGTTCTGTATGTATGCAGCAGGGAAAGTAGTGCAAGCACTGTTGATGTTATCAGATTGCCTGTAATATAGACTTGTACCACATTACTGATATTGTTCCTTTCCCTTCAGTCCTTGTTTTTGATTGCCTCTAATTTTGCCACAGTGAAATTTGTCTGACTCAAAAACCAGTTTAACATTTTCAGTTAAGGTGGTCCAGCTGAAGAGAATGAGGCCAGAAATCTGCAATAGAGAGTTGTGTGCTTTATAAACTTGAATTCTGTACTTGAATTGTTCATTTTGCCGTATCTGTGGCAATCCACCCAGATCTGACAATGACATAAGCCTTGGGAAAGAAATGTCAGTCTGTAAAAACTCTAAACTTGAGCTTAACACCTCATACATGCACCAAGGGTCTACTGTTATTGAAAATTCTTGCATGCTTCCCAGCTTCTAATATCAACAAAACTATGTACGTCATTCGTATGGAACGGACGAGCAAGCTTCTGGGCAGAGCCAGTGTGTGGTACAATAGACTTAAAGGCAACACCAGTACCCATATGAGAAAGCCAGTCCCCAGGAAACACAGAGAGCTTTGATCCACACGAAGCCCAGACATGGAGGTGTGCTGGGGAAGAAGTCTGGCTAGTTGGGCAAAGAAGCTGGGAGTATAAAAAGTGTAAAAGCTAAGATTTTCTAAGAAAATAAATTGGGAATTCAATAAAAAGAGTGGGAGTGACAAAACCTGGAACTAGCGCCAGGTGTCAGCAAGGAAGTGGAGGCAATGCTGAGGGGGAGAAGAGGAAGTCACAAGTACAGGAAACAGACTGAAAAGTAACTATTTATTAGAACAAACTTCCTGTGACTGCAAATTCTTTCCAATATCCCGTGTGCTGTCATTTCTTACATACACATCTGCGCTTCTGCTCTTTCCCCTCGACTCTTTTAAAAAACAAAACATGACAAAACAACTCCATGGCATGTTTGACTTTATAAACCCCAGCAATGCTGTGGGTGGGGTTGGTTTTATATTGTGTGTTTGTACATGAGAACAATAAACGTAGAAATGTTGAGCGCTGCCTCGATACACTGTAGAGTCATCGGCAAATACTCCTCTCAAAAGTGATCTAGACTCTATTATTCATAGAGCTGACATCTACCTTGGAAGTTCCACCACTTCAAACAAAATAGATTCCCCCAAACTACAGCATTTCCCCATCCAAAACAACCTCAAAAAACCCTAAAAACCATCAAACCCACCCAACAGAGGCAGTAAATTGAGGTGGGGGGTGGGGGAAATCAGTTGTGAATCAATAACATCTTCTCTGAACAGAAATGTCATTTTTTTAGGACCCACTTATCTGCCCGACACAGAACCGGAACCAAAGAATGGCTTCACCGAGTTAGACCAAATCATTCAAGTGGCTCTGTATCTTGTCTTCAAGAACAGCCATAAATAGATACCTAGGTATGCAAGATATTCTCCCTGCCTCCAGCTATTTATAGTTCAGGAATTTCCATAACCAGATGTAGTTCCTGTGCATTTAGTTATTTTCAATTAATACCTTTTCCACAAACATTTTTAGTCTCAGACTGAACTGATGAAAAGTAACAGCAGTTCTGAAGAATAATTTTTTTCCATACTTCTGATCTAGTCTTAACAAAACACTGAAAAAAACCTTACAGCATTCACAGATGCATGGAAAAACCTATTCTTTGGAGGTTTCTAGTGCTTCCTTCAGACTGCAGAGCTAGACTAATAAGTCTGTCCTATCAGTCAAGTCATATGAAAAGGTTTCAGTACAGGTTTTAAAACTTCAGCAACATTTCTCAACTGCATACAGCAAAAACACAGAATTCTAGACAGTGCTGCAGTTTCAGATGACTCATGTAACTTATTTGTGACATTGTTACTAGAGAGTAATGGAGATTCATAAGCTTGGGCTAATAAAACCATTATGGTGCCTCATATCAGCATGTAATATTTCTCAGTGTAATGAAAGAGAAACAGACCTTGTTGAACACTGTATACTCAAGCGCAGAGTTGACCTAGAACTGAGAATGCCTTGCCAACAGCTTCCTTCATTTTAGGACATACAGCTTCCAGATCAAACTGAAATTGCCACTTCATCAGCTATGAGAGAGATTAATTCTTCAGGGTATTCAGTTACAAATAGTGCATAATTACTTTAACAGAATGTCATGCAATGACATGACAAAAACTTATGAGGTTATTTCCATGCCTGCTGAAGTCACTGACAGTCTTAAAAAAAACCACTGAATGGTAAAGATGTAGGAGTGGGAGATTTCAGCAGCGTTTCACAAAGCATAATTGACATGCCCTTCTGAAAGTTTTCCTCACACTTCTAAGTAAAATGATAGAGTCAAATATGCATAAAACATTAAAATATTAAACTTAAAAATCTGTGCATCATTTGAAAAGCCTTTTAAAAGCTCTGACCCAAATCTTTGAGATTTCTTCAGGATCTGATGTAGCATTGTAAGAATCATCTTTTACGGATGTTAGTACACTTACCTGCATTTAATGAAGGCAAGTTGTCTTTACCACTTATGCCTTCAGTGGCTGTACATTCACGAACCAAAGCACACTACAAAAGAAATGCAACCACAAATATAACGCGTTGAAGTGTTACAAGAACATGCATAGCAGTTTATAAACAGCAAACTAAAAAACATCACTGATAATATAACTTCCCAACACTTAATTATAATGTACATTTTCCTCTTTATATTTCTGTTCCAATATACTCTAGCACAATCAGAATTATAGCAGACAAAAATAGCAAAATACGATCAGTTATTCCATAATAAACCAGAAAGGTTTCCTACCAATATGACAGCAGAGGTTAAAATAATTTTTTACAAGTTCTGTGCTTTCAGAGAGGTTTCTTTTGATAAGGCAGTTTTCACATGCATGGTGTCAGAAAGTGCTCCATCAATTTTTAAACAGAAGAAAAGTAAGCAGCACAAAAAGTCTTCAAAATGTGCTCGTGGTTTGTGATTGAAGTCATTTGTTATACAAGTGAATTGGCAGACTTCTTTGGTAAGATTAGTGCATAAAATAAAAGTATAAAAAGTTTATAAAAAAATCAACCAATGTAAACCTGTGCCAAACGTACTAGGAAGTACATTTTTCATGCTCCTCCTTCTCCGTCAGAAAAATAAAAACCAGATTGCCTCTAAAGGTGATAGGGAGCTCTGTTCCCAGGACTTCCCCAGTTTCCAGATATTCTCTTGCAGAGCTTGAAGCAAAGAGCAAGACATGATGTAGTCTCTACCAGTTCATATCTCAGATTGAATTTAACTATTGACTTACTCTTCCAAGAGGAATTCCCCGCACCTGGTTTATCTAATGAGTTAGCAAACCTAATTCAGAACTTCTTGGAAGTAATTCACTAACTCTACATTTTAGAATCATAGAATCACTAG